AAGTCTCGACCCATTCCCCAAGACCGGTTTCTCATCCCGAATCGTTTTTTGACGGTCCCGGGGCCCGGCGAGGGCCCCTTGGGCCCGACATTAGCGAAAAACCTCCGTCCTGTTTTTTTCAACACGTTGGATCTCTGGGCACCAACCCTGTGAGGCGATCCCCCCTCGAGGGCCCCCTCTGCGCGATCTGTCCCGCTGCCAGGGGCGTCTTCGGCGAACGCTATCGCCGAGGTTGGGGACAGCGTGGACTGAGCGGGCCGGTGGCGATCGATGTCGCACGCTATCTCTCCAACGCCAACACTCGCTGTCCTGGTCTGGACGCACCGCGAAATCCCCCTCCTCCTCCTCCACCTCCTCCTCCTCCTCCTCCTCCAGAGGTCCAGGGGGGGTGATTTCTCAGGCTCGCCGCGAAGAGAACGTGTCCCGCAAGTCTTTCGCGGGGGAGGCCGCTTGTCTGACCCCGTCCGCTCCGCGGCGCAGGCGGGCTGGCCTCGCGATGAACGCGGTGCGAGAAGCTGCCACCGCCGTTGGCGGTTTGGTCGTCGGTCGTTGTCGGCGTCGTCGTCGGCAGCTGCGCCGTTGGCGCCGTCGTCGCCGCTGACAGCAATGGATCTGGGGGGCGGGGGACGTGGAGGCAGGCAAGGAGGAAGGAGGGCGCGGAAACAAGGGAGGATGGGAAGAGGTGGAAGAAGGGAGGAGGGAGGCGGGGAGGAAGCATAAGCATCGCACGGCAAACTGAAGGGAGGAGACACCGCGCCGCACAAGCCTCTCTGCGGCTAATGGCGTCGCGCAGCACACGAGGGGGGAGATGGGGAGGAAGGACGGAGAAGAGAGTAGGGCGAAGAGGAAACGAGACTTGCAGGAGAAGAAAGGATGAGGATGAGATGGGGGGGATCGATGTAGGGATGACGTGGGGGGGAGGATGAGAAGGGGGTTTGGAACATGGCGTGCTGGTCAGCTAGTATAAGCCGGTGGTGGGGGAAGCAGAGAGCGAGAGGATGGGGGAGAAACAGGGGGACCAGCAGCGAGAACTTGGGCAGCTTGTTGAAGACAGTGTAGTCGATGGTGTCGTCGCATTCTCCGTAGTGGTCACTAAGGCCCCTTCTCCATTGTAGATCCACGGCTGGTTCCATTGGTAGAGGAGGCGGTTCTCGTTGTTGTCCTGGTGGCGTGGCGCTCTCCATGTTTCCAGTAGCGCGCTTCTGGTCCGAGATGTTGGCTGCCCAAACGCCTTGAGCCAGATGCTTGAGCCCAAATGGCTTCGGACGGCTGTCGCTCCTCCTCCTCCTCCTCCTCCTCCTTCTCCTCGTTCTCCTCCTCCTTCTCCTCCTCTTGCTCTTGCTCTCCTCCACCCCACTTCAGCTCCCCGAGCGGTGCCTGCCACTCCTTGGGCGTCCACGTGCGCAACTTCGGCAGCGAGTGGATGGCCCCTCGGCAGCTGGAAATGCGCGCCCGCCCTGCCGCCTCGCGTCCCGCTCCCGTAGCTCCTCGTCCTCCTCGTCCTCCTCGTCGTCCGCCTCCCCCCCCGTCCGTCTCCTCCTCGTTTCGATTCTGGTCCTCGTCCGCCGCGTCCTCCACCTCCTCGTCCTCCTCCATGCCGCGGCTGCTCCTCGTCTTCCTCCTCCTCCTCCTCCTCCTCCTCCTCCTCCTCCTCGTCCTCCTCGTCCTCCTCCTTCTCCTCGTCCTCCTCGTCCTCCTCCTCCTCGTCGTCGTCCTCCTCCTCGTCCTCCTGGTTTTCCTCCTTCCTCTTTCGCCCTTTACCAGTGCTTATTGCCCACAAGCGCCCATCCTCGCTCGATCGGCTCGACCCGACACGGCACAATGAGGGCCCTCGGCGCCCCTGCCAATGACGATGCGACGTGCACATGGCGTAACAAACATCTGCAGACAAGCGCGTTCGCCAACTCGCAAAACGTTCACTCGCAAATGGCCTGGATCCGCCGCGGGGTATCTACGATCCATGACCTCGAGGCAAAGATGTGCTCTTCGGGCGTTTGCGAACAAGCATTCTGCGAGTAGCGGAACGCGCTCCGTGAATTTGGCGAAGTGCACGCGCCCCAGCATCAATCCGCGCTGGTTTTTGACTGGGGCGGTGGGGGTGCCGCCACATGGTCCGCTGTGCAGACACGCCATCCCTTCGTGTCGGGCATTTCCGCCCAACTACACATGCACAGGAGGACGGGCAGAGGGAGGGAGACATGATAAGACGATGACATGGCCACGGCGTACGGACGGCACGTGCCACCCGGCAAGCGTCGCGCATCTGGCGCACGTGGTGCGTTCAACTCGCCATCCTCCCTGCGCAATCCGCCACCTCTGTCTCCTATTTCTCCACCTCTCAATCCCTCTCGCTATGCTCAACGTTCCCCCCTTCACCCTCGACCTGCTCCTCCTCCTTCGTTTTTCTTCTCGTCCTCCTCCTCCTCCTCCTCCTCCTCCTCCTCCCCGCCTTTCCTCCTCCTCCCTCCTCCGCCTCTCCATCCTGGAGGATGAGCAATCGGAGCAGGCTTAAGGAGGAGGATGGGGGGAAGACGGAATCCATTCCCCCCCCCCACCTCCTCCTCCTCCTCTTCTCCTCCTCCTCCTCCTCCTCCTCCTCCTGGACCTCTCTATGAATACGTGCTGACCAAAAACTCGAAGCGAATCCAGCCGTGGCGACGAGAAGCCTAGAGGAGGCCCAAAAACGTATGAACATGCCCCACTCAACCCCGATCTCTAGCTTCGAGCCCTCCACTTCTGCCTTCTCCTCCTCCTCTTCCTCCATCTTTAGCATTATGAAACATTCTTTCCTGTCGCGCCCCAAGATGTGTCGGTAGGGCGGGCTGGGCGTTTCGCCGGACACTCCACACTACTTATGCCCCTGATCATTGAAATGTGCAACGGCTTCATGGCTGGAGAAGGGGGTTGTCTTTAACATGGGGCCCTCGCCTGAGCGTCGCGTACATTCGTTTTTCAAGCTCTCCAGAGTTTGCAGTCGGTTCAACGATGGAGAACGGTTCCTTTTCAAAATGGAGATATTGCCTCATC